ATTTTTCAGCTACTTCACAGCAGGAGGGAACGAATATACTCTACCCACGTTAGACTCTCGACCCAGTTCCCATTACAATGTCGAATTGTTTGTTCTACTTAGTACCACTAAACAGCTGCTATGGCAACGTTGTTCAGTTCCAGGCAGACATCTGGCTGATCAGTCAATCAGAGAAGGTCAGGTGGATGTGGGTAACCTAACACTTTCACTCCAGTTACTCTTCTCTCTATTCAAGTCCAAATATATCGTGTAATGTGTTTGGACCAACCTACACCTGTGATAGTTTGTCTTATTGTGAAGTCTAAATTTGTACTGACGTCGTCATCATGTTGGATCATTATACATATGCAAATAGGAAATATAAATTAAGCCTCACGTCACTATGGCTATATTGTAGATACGTCGTACTCCAGGTAGGCTTGTTGACAGACAGACACTCAGACAGAACTTCTCCATGTCGTGGAGGGAACAACGGTTGGGGAAATGTCTCCAAACTCTGGTTACCTTCTCAGGTAATACTATCATAGCACTTTATTTGCATAAAAGTACAAATGGAGAAACAAGGAGATGTGTAAATAAGTTACATTATACAAATATATTTTACAGACGAAAAGTCTGTTGTAAATGGATGAAAGAGGGTGTGAGGTGAATCAAGTAATTCCTGGTGATATATCATTGGTTAGTTCTGTTATTTCAAACATATTTTGCCATTAATACATGCACAAAACTTAAGGAAGTTGTACCTTTTAGCATTTATATCAGGACAATAACTCTGAAAGATATTACAGTGACCTTTATTGAAGACACGAGATAACCAAGTGTAAACAAACTCTGTCTCCTTAAAAAAAAAAATAATATAAAATCAGACGACCGGCGATATCAAAGACCTTCCACTTCCCTAAGGTTTGTCTACGAGTGTACTACTGCTGGTAATGGGAGAGTTCTAGATGTGATGCTGGACAATCATTGGAGTAATTTGTAGTGGAACTTTCAGTAACTGGACAAATGAATGTGTTTACATTGTGTTCCAGGGTGTACAGTGTAAACACATCTCCAGGGTGGTAGACTAGAAGTAGTGCCAAGAATGTATACCTCGTTCTCTTTTATTAAAAACTTTTTAAAGAACTTTTTTTTTTATAATTAAAAAGTTAAACTCCCTCCTCCCCGCAGTTAATTAGGGGTGACGGGGAAATTTCTAAAGAATGTCTTTTTTTTTAGACTTGAGGAAGAAGTGGCTAATTTGGTCATTTCTCAGGCAATTTTATATAGTTAATTTGTTAAGTTGTGTTTTATTATATTTTGGGGAAAGTGGAGAAGATCACAGTATACAGTAGGTAGACAGTTCCGTGTCCCCCTGTTGGACACGTCTCCGTGTTTTACGGGTCAGGAAATGTTTTGTCTCCAGAGGTCAGCAAGCAGTTGGTATATAACGTGGTGTAACTAGAGCAGTGTCGGGCAACCGGTGTGCCGTGGCACACTGGTGTGCCGCGAAGAATTCTAGGTGTGCCGCGAACATTTTTGTAGGTATTTAGAACTTTTGGTTAAATTTAAAAATAATGTTTCAAAAAATATTTTTTATAATTTTTATTCAATTTTAATATTTTTTTTCAAAAATTTTCATATAAAAAATGAAATTAAAAAAAAGCAAATTTCATTTTATATAAAACTTATTTTGGTATTATAATTACAACAGTTTGCATAATTTTATATTTCATATAACGTATGTACATAAACTTGACGTACATAACTGGCACGTGCCATTATTAAAAAATAAAAATGCAAATAGGTACGTACCTATTTAAAATCATAAGTTAAAAAAAAAAAACAATCCGCGAAAACAACTTTATTTAATAAAGTTGAATACATACTGCGGGAAAATGCCTAATTTTTAAAATAATATGACCAAACTTAACCGTCATTTACAATCTTTGTCACAGCTGTTTATTAATAGAGACTCAAAGCTACAAAGGTTAAAAAAAAGAAAACAAAAAAAAATTATAAATTTATTTAAAAAATTTATTCGGAGTTTTCGTCAAAGTATTGCTGTAGTAATTCTTCTTTTTTTTTGCATGTTGTAAAACACACACACATTCACACAATAAGTTTTGTACACCGTAAAATATGTTGGTTAAAAAAGGAAAAAAAGATTTTTGTTACGAAATTCTCACTCACTTTTAACTCAAGGTAACTTTATTTAAACATTTTATTATTATATTTGTGTGTTTTTTTTTCTAAATTCTCTCAAAACTAGATGGAGAGATTTCTATTTAGAGAAGGTGCCAGTGATGAACAAAATCAAAACGAAAATAAAGAAGATAAGAAAATAGTAAAATCAACTGGAAATAAGAGGAAATACGTTGAAGATTATCTCAAATATGGATTTATAGCATCTGTTAATGATCCATCACTGCCGTTTTGCTTAATTTGCCAAAAAACCCTCAGCAACGAAACAATGGTGCCAAGTAAACTACTTCGACATATTGAGACAAATCATCGGGAGCAGATGAACAATCCAATAAGCTACTTTGAAAATATACGATCAAGTTTTCAAAAGCAATCAAAAAAATTCAAGAAATTTATGACCACCTCAGATGAAGCTCAAACAGCTAGTTACATGATAGCTCAACTCATCGCTCGAAAGAAGAAAGCTCACGCGGAAGCAGAGGAAATTATCTTGCCTGCTTTAAAAATTGTGGCTGGATGTATGTTAATGAATGATGCTATGGAGAAGGTTACGAAAATTCCACTATCATCAAAAACTATTGCGAGAAGAATTGAAGATATGTCAGAAGATATTGAGTTGCAAATAAAACAATCTTTTAATGATTCATCAACAAAATGGGCTATACAGCTTGATGAAACCACAGATATTAGTAATAAAGCTCAATTGCTGGCATTTTTGAGGTTCGTCGATACAGGAAAAATTGTGAATAACTACTTTTTTGTAAAGAATTAAAACAAAGAACGACTGGTGCGGACATTTTTGAATTAGTTGATGAAAATGTTATAAAGTATAACTTGAGATGGGAAAATTGTGTTAGCGTCTGTACGGATGGAGCTCCAGCTATGAAAGGTTCAAGAAAGGGATTGATAGCACATGTCATAAAAAAATCCAAATATCAAATTTGTTCACTGTATGATTCATAGAGAAATGTTAGTGTCAAAGTCGGTTCCTCCCATCCTTGTCACAACTCTAGATGAAGTTGTCAAAGTAGTCAATTACATCAAATCAAATGCTCTTCGATCGAGAATTTTTTCAACATTTTGTGAAGCAATGGATTCCGATTATAAAAATTTATTGTTTCATACTGAAGTCAGATGGTTGTCGAAAGGCAAAGTTTTAAATCGATTTATTTCAATGAAAAATGAAATAATGGCATTCATTGATAACGAAGAGATTAATTTTCCTTTCATGATGAGTGATGTTTGGTGGTTACGAGTTTCATTTTTGGGTGATATTTTCGACAAATTAAACAGCCTTAATTTAAATTTGCAAGGTGCTCAGGAGAACATTATCACTATTTCCACCAAGTTGAAAGCGTTTAAGGAAAAACTCAGTTTATGGAATTTAAACATTGCTAAAGAAAACTTTGCATCTTTTCCGATGGTTCAAGAGAATCCATCAAAATCTATTATCAAAAAAGAAGTCGAAGAAACTTTGACATTACTATCCGCTTCTTTTGATAAATATTTTCGTTACTTGGACGTTGAAAAGATGGATGGGTAGTTAACCCATTTATGCACTGTGAAATTCAACATCTGGAAGAAGAAATGCAAGAAAACTTAATTGATTTAAAAAACGATTTAGTTTTCAAAAGACTATTCACTGAAAAGGAGCTATCTGAGTTTTGGTTGTGCTTAAACTCCAAATTTCCTAAACTTAGTAATGCGGCCATCGAATCATTGTTGCCATTTGGAAGTTCCTACCTGTGTGAGCAAGGTTTTTCAACACTCACAGAAATTAAGTCTAAGAAGCGCGAAATACTTCAAATGATAGATGAGGATATGCGCGTTTGTCTTTCACAAGTAGATCCCCGTATTGATTTGATATGCTCTCAAAAACAATCGCAATGCTCGCATTGATTATGTTAATTTAATATTGAAAATTAATAAAATGTGATATATATGTTTAAATTTTTACTAGTATTTATTGTTGTATTTTAATTACCTACGAGGAAATTTATAGTGAGAACCACAGGTGCGCCGCGAAAAAAAGAAATTAAGCTTAGTGCGCCGCAACTCGAAAAAGGTTGCCCGACACTGAACTAGAGTATTGATAATTGTAATTATGATTTTCGGCAATGTGTTTCCCTACATAATACAAATATTATCTCTGCACACTTTACACTTCATTGATAATTGTTTTAAAATTACAAAATATTTTCTCACAATGAGTCTATTACAAAACGCTAGTTTTCAAGTGATAATCTCTCTTCAACGGTCTTAATAAACTCATTGTGAGAAAATATTTTGTAATTTTAAAACGTTTTTCACAATTTCATCAGGAATAGAATTGATAATTGTTGTTGTTTTATTATTGCAGTAAGGTCTGTAGGCGACTCTCCGGGGCTATCTAAATATATCAATAAGGTCTGTAGAGATCATATTTGATGGTATATATATATATATATACTAGACGAATGGCCCGGGCAACGCCCGGGTTTTACCCTAGTGCGAATATATTTTAAAAACGTTTTAATTCAAATACTATTCGTTACAATTATAAATTGGCTTATTATATTATATATATATATTATACCGTTTTGCACAATTATTTAATCTTTTTTTATAATTTTATTTTATTTTATTTAAAGAAACATATTTTCATTTAAGTATTGTTATTTATTTTAAAAGATTAAGAAATTGTGCAAAACGATAATTACCTTAAAAAGAAATTGCCTTAAAAAAAAGAAACATTCGCGGTGATTTTGTCTTGCATTCGTTTATACAATTATTATATATATTGGCATCATATATTAACTTTATGAACGGAAAAATATGTCCAGGGTAGCGTAGTGGTCATGGCATCTGCCCGGTAAGCGGAAGGTGGTGGGTTCGATTCCCATCCCTTGACACTTTTTTTATTTTATCCATTCTGACCAAAATCTATCCGTGAACTTCACAAAGTGAACTTCACACAGACAGAATAAGGCAATTATATAAGTAGATAATAATAATTATTATTATTATCATTAGATAATGATAATGATCATAATGATGATGCGCGCGTTGATGACCAAAATCTATCCGTGAATTTCACACAGTGAACTTCACACAGACAGAATAAGGCAATTATATAAGTAGATGTGTAGAGAAACACAAAATTAAATATAAACTTTTTATTTTTTTGTTCGCCATTACTCTTCATGTTTCACCTTTCCATACCTCATCCTCAAAGTTAGAAATGTCGCTATTTCTCTTTGAAAATAAATTTCGAATTTTATAAAAGAAACATTCGCGGTATAATTTCAATTTTCGTTTTACAAAATATAATTATTACAAATTCTATCGTTAGATGGCATTGGTGTGAATTCATTAATAATAACAACAACACAGTTTTACTATCTGATAACCACATGACGGAATCTTTCCTCACAGAGATGTCTGTGAACATAGCGTTATATTGACCGCGGGGAAGTTTATATTTCTGCGCCGCGGTAAAATAAATTTTAAAAAGTCTGGAGCTATCTGGCAATTAGCTGGGGACATTTATTAACAAACATTGGACGGAGAAATGGAAGTCATCTTCAATGTGTCTTAAATAATCTTCACATCGCAACAATACACATAGAGAGACGTCTGAAATATTTTACATTTGAAAAATAATTAATTCCAAATATTATCCTATTTTGGTTTAAAGCATTGCTAAGGAGATATTTACAACCCAGGTTCCTGGAGCACAGAGCGCCAACAAAGAAATTACCAATATTGTGGGGCAGAAATGGGCAACGTTTCACCATCTCACGTTCTCCGCCACAAGCATTCAGAATACATAAGGGCGCCATCTATATAGGTCAGGAATTAAACTATTTACCGCGATCTTTCTCAAACAAAACAACGTCCTATACTGCGATGGGAAATATTGGGGAAGCTGGCTCAACTCTCCCAGCGGTTTCGCCAGTTTAATCTCAATCATAAATACAATCCACTGCAACACCGTTTTGTTTTATTCAGCCACCTGTGTAGGATTAGTGTTCCGGAGAGCTGATGAGCTGCCTGTTCCAAAAACCGTTGGATCATTTCTTCCAATTTATTAAAGCTGGTAGATCGCTATATAATTATCAATTGTAATTTTACAATAGAAGAGAACACTAGAAGAGAGCTGTGAGTTCTGGAAAGGCAAAAAAAAATGATTCTCTCTCTTCCGCGAAATAATAAATTGATTGGCGCTAATTGAATCACAGAGTTTAAAAAGTGATTGCTCGTCTAATTACACTCCCTGTGTGTGGACGGATGTATGGAGGATTGGCGCGGTTCGAATTGCAACATTTTCAAAATGAAATTAAAGGTGGCAGAGCGAGAAAAAACCTCACAGAATTAATTACAGCCACCAGCGGAAAATAAAAATTCCCCATCGCCTCTAAGTCAATTATAAAGAAAATTTCCTCCAAGTTATGTATGCAAATATGGAGATATGTAACTCGGGGGGGTACTGGCAAATTACGAGAGAGAGATATAAAAGTAACCACTTTGTATCGACCGCGTCATCATAACTCTATCATCATCATTTCAGGTAATCAACTCATCTACTCACGTTACTTCTTCCTTGATCCCTCACGTCACTCTACGCCAGCTTGGAACTCTCTGCTACATGACGCTCATTACCGGGGTTTCGCTCTCTGTTGGATTCTAAGTTTTAAAATCATCTAAGCTCCTTATATTATTGGAAATTGAGACAAATATTATCTTTTGTTTTTCGTATAATTCAAAACTATTTCTACAGACCTGCTTTAATAAAAATTGAAATGAGGGCCTGGCTCATCAGTGGTGAACAGTTCAATCTATCAGACAGTTCTGTATTGGTATCTGCCGTATGTCCATAGCTCCTCAGTAACTGTAGACAACAGTGGAGCTGGCTGTCCCCACTGATGAGTCTCATTAGAAACTCTATCATTGTGGGAGCTCTGTGTAAATAATTCTACAAATAGCAGCGTGTTCATTTTGTAATTGTCAACAAAGTGGTTTAACACCTTTGATTTTTTTGTATATATATCACGCAAAATTTAAATAATGATTTTCATGTTTTGAGCGAGAAAGAGAGATCCGCATTTTCAAATGTTCACAATACGTGGAATTATCACAGTGCCGGCGGCTCTATGCCCCTATTTATAAATAATGTGACTTGTCATAATGGATAAAATAAAAGCTACGCCGTCTTCATACCAGTGTATTTGAGTTACAACACCAGCTTTGGCAAATACAGAGCGCTTATCTGAAGACCATGGTTTCAGTCCAGGGCGCGCTTTACGAGGGCCATTAGTCCGAAACCATGGTCTTCAGGTCTTTCTGTATTTACCAAAGCTAGTGTTGTGACACAGACCCGAGGCCGCTATTTTGTGGTTACGGTTTTGTTTGTTACGGTTGATAGAATTCGCAATAGTTGTTGGGTCTATTTTGACGGGGAAGATAATTATTTAATAAAGTTTAATACTTTGATCAAGATTTGCACGGCAGTTACATTTGTGCCCACACACGTATCGGACTCCAGGGGCGGGTAAGTTAACGACCACCGCTCACTGCCAGCGGACGGTAACGACCTGGGCGGCCATGTCGCCGCTAATTGTCAACTCTCCGACATCCCGCTGTCCCACTGGTGTACTCTATACTTCCGCCAGCACACTCGTCCGTGTAGTTTACAAATAACCAACCAATGAATGCAAGTAACCAAACGGGGCTCTGACACACTTGTAAGTGAATAAATAAAACTGGTTTCTACATGTGTAACTATGCACTTACAGTAAAAGACAGTCACTAACTACCTACCATGATTATCATGGCCACGCGCACTTGCAATAAGTCCCAACAGACGCCCACAATAACAGCAACCCTATTTACATATTGAGTGGTAAACGAGTGGCTTCAACCAAGGTCCTCATTCCGGCGACCCACTGTCTCCTTTTTCAAGAAGGACATTTTGATAAAGGTTACTTGTAGTCAATTTATATCTTTTGTTTATTATTAAAAGAAATCATAGAAAGGAGTTGTATGAGCTTTCAGACAAGGTCTTGATCAGCCTGATGTACAATAAATACATGTGTGGCACGGGTCCACATGTCACTCGCCCAGATCATACGCCAGCGTTCTGGACAAAATGTAACTTCTCGACATTTTCTTGCAAAATATTCCGGATTTCACACCGAATGGAGATTAATTCACGTCCAATACAACCTAGTTCTACGTTCTGTAAACTCTCCCTGCCGCGGTACTGAACGATGTCCTGACACCGCACGGATTCAGGAATTAATTCTTTTAGAACCAAAGGATCGCTCCACGACATGTCGTAGATGAGATACCTCGTGTAATGTACCGTTATACGATGTGTACATCTACACGTAGCGTGGAAGATAGAAATTTGATACATATAAAATAAAATATATAAAAATATAATATAAAATTTTATATAACTCGTTTAAAGTTGCATATATCAAATCGAGGAAGCGCCCTCTCCGTTCCCTGGTGTAATTGAGTGGAGTGAGATGACAGCTCATTAGGGCTCTTATCTGCTGCCGTCCTATGTCTGCCTATTTGCATAGCTGCCCTGGGTACAGTATATTTAGCGTTCATTGTCAGCATCTGTACACTTTTGAGATTTATACACGAGCCGAAATAAATATATTTTATAAAGCCACCTTGTTGCATATCTACCTACGACACTTCGCCAATTTTTTTTATCTTTTACCAATCTCAGACTGCCGTAACCCAAGGCTGCTAATTATTCAAAGTGGATTCTCCTATGCAAATATTGTAACGAAGTGTATGTATTATTTAATTAGAAGATTATTCATTTTAAATCAGATTGCTCCATTAATATTTCTTTCATTGCGCACCGTTTGTTATTATGTAAATAAGGTTTTGATCAGATATATTGCCACCCGACAATTATTGTAATCGACCTTATAGAAGGTGCAGAATACGTTTGTCGTATAATAATATATTTAATATAAATTATTTAAATATTTAGATGAAAATCTGGGTCACCACCAATCCGACCCCGGGGAAATATTGTTGTTTATGCAAATATCTATATATACATATTGGTGTATAGACTGTGAGCAGACGATATTCCCGCCCTTTCACACCACAATTCTTGAGATTTACTTTATTATCCACAGCAGGCCTGTCACCATATCTCACACACAACACCATATATGTATATATTACATTATATATATATATTAATGGGGGGGACTACGTCAATACGGCAGGCAGCGACACTCAGTGACAATATTTAATTAAATATTGACCCTGGACTAATGAAATGTCACTGAATGGAAATAAACACTCCTCTCTTCTCAACTCCGCGCTTCCTCTTTTCTTTCTTTTTCCTTTGTAGCAAGTTTTATAGAGATGCGAGGTTTTAAATGTTGTTTATCCGTTATCCCGTTTATGTAAATTGCTCATATAAAGTTACATAATAGCTGTGATAATTGTCAATTATATCGAAACATATGTCGTGTCTATGCAACATATATTCAACTTTATATCTAGGATGAAAAATGTAACTCTCACAAAGGTTACAACGGAGATTATGCACCACTTTTTTTATCAATAAACTTAAGGCACGCCACCTATAGACAAAAAAATTAAATTATTTAGCACGTTTTTATTTTTTAAATTAAGATCCAAGTTGTTTTTGCGTCAGAGCAATAATGCTCGATGTTTATATGCATCTCTACTGTTATAAAAAGGTTATTTTCCTAATTTCCTTTAGCTCCTTCACACCAAGAATTCCTCTATAGTACCGTATATATAACAGCTCAATACAATTGTAGCAGAACGGTCTGGTAGATTAAACTGGCGAAACCGCCGGGAGGGGTCCCCACTGATGAGCTTGGCCCTCCCAATGTTTTCCCAT